TGTGTTCATTTGCATAAATTTTAAGTTGGATTTTCTTGGCCAGATTCACTTTAATTTTCAAAATTTTAGTGAAACACAAAGGAACTAACCTAGACGTTTGATAAGTCATATACAGTATTCGTGTCCGTGTTGTATGCGATATTCAAACTCTCGGCTACGCCTCGAGTTCGTATATCTGATGCAACACGACCACTCATACTGTATATATTACTTAACATTGATACTGTAGGCGAAATCAGCTGATCCATTGATAGTGGCTGTCTTGTTATTGGATCACGTGGTCTATCCCACGTAATAACAACACATGGCCCAAAGGAACCTTGTGCAGGCTTTAAAGTACCAGTGACATTACTGGAGCAGAAGGAGCTTTAGACAAAAGATAAGTAATACAATTTGTAAACATGTCATTACTTCAATACTGCAAGTAGCCCCCCTCCCCAAAACAATCTTGCCCTGCTGGACATGAAGTCCTAAAATTAATGTGTGCGCAAACTAACCATGAAGCTTGGATGACAGTACTTTATTCACTCTCAAACACTGCAATATACCGAATCGAAATATGGCGACTAATTTGAATAACTATTGTTCTGAACTAACTAGCCTCTCTTACATTTGAAAACGCTTTAAGTCAGTTGATGTTAGTTAGTTCAAAACACTAGCAGTAATGATCACAGTATTTCGATTCGGTGTACACATGCATGTGTTTAATGTATGTTATATATGTTTCCACGCGAACACGAGGCTAGTCAGTCCAAAACAATAGTTATTCAAATTGGTTGCCATGTTTCGATTCGGTGTACGCATATGTTTATTGCACTGTTTTTTTCAGCTCTTAGTTTCTCACCGTCCTCCATCGTTCTCACTCTTCGCTCTGTACTTGGTGGACCAGTGTACTTAGTGTTTCTGACTGATATAGCGATGTTGTAAATTGTATACTTGAGTAGTGACGTTAGAGTATAGTTTGCAACATCACCAATCACAAGTYCACAGGACGTTTTTCTTGAAACTGAGACTTTTCTTGAACTTTTTTAATAATACAAATTGACAGGAATAGATATTTTTTACAATAACGAACCTGTTATTTGAAACTAGCACAAAGCACATTGAAACCATTTCAATTTTAAATACTTAAAATGTCAAACCAAGCTGTATCGTATGTTTTCTGATTAAAAAAGAAAAGAAAAGAAAAGAAAAGAAAAGAAA